AAGGAGCGATCGAGAGAAGCGTAAGGCAATCGGAGAAAGAGGGAATCGATCAGGAAGCTCGGTAGCGTGGTCGGCGAAGAGGAGGAACGAGAGATCGGTAAGGGCAACGGGGTAAAATGACTCGTTCGAAAGCTGGGAAGCGGACTCCTATAGGCGTTCGGCTGGACGAAAACCGAGGGCCGCCGCTCTCCCAACGCCGCCCCAAACGAGCGAATTTTGCATTCTGATGCTGCGCAGCAGTGAAAACGCTGCGCCAAACAGACCCTGAAATTTATTAAAGATTATGATCTGGATATTCAATATCATGCCGGAAAGGCAAATGTTGTTGAAGATGCGCCGAGTAGAAAAACTTCTGGTAATTTGAATTATTTATTTACTCAGTAGAGTAGTTAATTAAAGACTTGGAAAGGCTGAGGTTGACTATAGTTGATTATGGTGATGATAGTATGGCTCAGTTATATCAGTTGACGTTGCAGTCAACTCTAAAGGGCAGAATTGAAGATTTTTTAGCCAGAGATAGCAGCATTCAGAAAGTTCTGGAGCAGGTTCAGGCAGGCAATTTGGAGAGATGAGATAGATCAAGATGGTCTATTGAGGTATAAAGGCAGGGTTTATGTTCCAAATGTTGATGATCTGAGGAAGGAAATCCTAAAAGAAACACATCTATCTGGATATACTATTCACCTCTGGAGGAACAAAATTTATCAGGATCTCAAAGAAGCATTTTGGTGGCTGAGATTGAAGACAAGTGTGGCATAATTTATGGACAAGTGTCCCCCATGTCAATTAGTGAAGGTAGAGCTTCAGCGTCTTGAAGGTCAGTTGCAGTCTTTACCGATTCCAGAGTGAAATGGAAGGAAATTGTGATGGATTTTGTGATTGGTTTGTCTAGATCTCGTCAGGTTCGGGATGTCAAATGAGTAATTATCAATCGACTAAGTCTACCCATTTCTTACCAACTAGACATAGATCTAGTTGAGAAACTAATCAAATTATATATGGATCAAATTATGAGGTTGCATTGAGTGTCGAAGTCTATTGTCTATAACAGAAATGGCAGATTTGCTTCCAGATTATGGAAGAAAGTTCAAGAAGCTTTGGGTACTCGATTAACTTTTTGTACAGCATTTTCACCTCAAACAGATGGTCAGTCAAAGAGGACTATCCAGACCATGGAAAATCTACTAAGGTTATGTGTCCTTAACTTTGATGGAGGTTGGGAATCACATATAACTTTAGTAGAGTATGCCTATAATAACAGTTACCAGGCTAGTATTCGAAAGGCTACATATGAAGCCTTGTATGAAAGGAAGTGCAGGACACCTCGATGTTGGGCTGAAATGGGTGAAAGAAAGATCGTTGGAGCTAATTGGCTGATGATACTACTGAGAAGATTAGACTGATCAGAGATAGAGTGAAAGCAGTGCAGGATAGAAGGATAAAATACTATGATGCCAAGCACAAACCTGTTGAGTTTGAAGTTGGAGAGTTCGTGTTTATCAAAGTCAGTCTATTGAAGGGTATGCAACGTTTTGGAAAGGCAGAAAAATTGAGCCCCAGATTTATCGTTCCATTTGAGAATGTAGAGAGAATTGGTAAAGTGGCTTACAGATTGGTTTTACCAACTCAGATGCAGGAAGTGCATTATATTTTCCACATTTCTTCACTGAGAATATATATTACATATGAAGCCAGTAGGGTGATAGCAGACTCAGTTAACATTCAGCCTGATTTGACTTATGTTGAGGAGCTTGAAAAGATTCTGGATTATCATGTGAAGAAACTGTGAAATAGAGAGATCCCTTTTGTGAAGATTTTATGGAGGCACGAATCGGAAAAGGATATTGCTTAGGAGAAAGTCTGAGATTCAAGAAAAATATCTACAACTTTTCAATTAAGATATGCGTGTTGTATTAAATCTTTCAAATTTCGGTGACAATTTTTATAAGAAGAAGACATTGTAACAACAGAAATTAAGTGATAATAATAATAATAATAATAATAAACCGACAAATCCCTTTAATTATAACATAACGGTCGCAACCATCAATCAGGATAGAAGATAATATATGAAATCCAGCAACAAGGAAGAAAATTGAGAACAAAGCATGAGAAAGCATCTTCGTATGACCAAAAGAAAAGAGAATGGGGATACATGATTTGAAGGCAGAAAGACAGGAGAAAATCAGCTCAATGGTATACCACATAAAATCCTAACACACAATGCTTACAACAAAGACGAGAGAAACCGCAAAGGCCAAGGGTATTATTGTAGCTAAAACAGGGAAATAATAGAAATGTTAACGGGTAGCGGTAAAATTTACCGATCCCACCACAACTTGTTCAGTGGAACTTAGCTCCGCTCCGCCGTTCACAAAAATCTCATTTTTTGAACGAGATTTTAAGAAAGCAACTAAACCACAAACTCCTAAACAACCCATAACCAGCTTTCCAAAACAAAAAGTGGTTGAAAACCCGTCCCAAACAGGGTCGAAGAGATTAAATTCTAACAAGAGAATGTAGCCATTGGTTTTAGTGCTAGAAGAACAAAGGTCCACACAAAATTCATCATATGACAAGAAATAAAATGGATGCACAAACCAACTTTTAGATAACAGCTCGGGATAGAAGATAATAGAGTAAATCATCCACTTTGCTTGACTAATAAAAGCCAATGGAATCAGTCATTTTCATTATCTTTCTTTCTACATGTTTGTTTAATTGTGAAATAAAAAAACGATTACTAGATTAAAGCCGACTTCATATGATAGTTCATTTTTAGAGCAAGAAGAACATAAGGTAATAAGCGGAATGATATTGTGAAAAAAAGAGGTGCGATGAGGTTTTGATCAAAGAACATACATGTATAAAACAGTGGATTAAAGAAGATGCCGCCATAGCCATTGTCAATTTGTCTGGTTAGTTTGGGAGGAGAGCCAAGATAGCCATCTAATCCATTTGCCTCAAATAGTTTCAAGATTTGTAAATTTATGATCTCCAACTTGGATGATTATCAGTTGTAAGTTGGTTATTGAAAACTCCTTTGATATTGTTCATAAGAATTTTAAGTTGGGGCAGAATGGTGATATCACCAATTTTGAGGAGGACATGTCAATCAATGGTCAGGCAATAAACAGAAGAATTGGAGGGATTCATGAGTTCAACAGATAGAGTTGTTGTACGGCTTATTGCTCTGATATCATGTTAAAATATGATCAAGGGTATAGTTGTTGCTAAAGCAGAGTACAAAGAAAATTGATAGCTAAGAACAAAAGAAAGAAGAGAAAGATGTAGAGATAAGAGAATACAAATTAAAATAATATATTTATCATGCATTCAATAGTGAGTAGCTGTTCCTTTTATATAATGTATAATCAAATGTAGATTATATAGTGACAGAGTTGTTACAAACGAAAGGTTATGATGGAAAGTTCAGTTATGATCCAAGGGGGTGAGAGTACATGGTAGAGGAAAGATATTGAGCACTGCTAGCCACAAGTGATGATGACAGAGAATTGGAGGTGGCTATTATGCACAAGGTTCAACACTAACTCAAAAAATGCCCCAAAATGCCGCGCCGTCACCAAAAATAGTGAATGTAATGAAAAGTACATTTTATATTACAATTTATAATACTTTCTTAAGATTAATGGGTGGTTGGATTATTTCAACGTATCCACATTAAACCGCCTATATTTGAGATAAACAGAATGATACCATAGTTTAAAATTCAATAATATGAGTACCTCAATGCCTTTAAAGAATTCTCATCATGAGGCATGCGCCTCATGGGCTATCATGAAAGACATATGCCTCAGTATATGAGAGGTGCACCAGGGCGTGTATGCCTCGCCTCAAAATTTAAGAGAAATATGCCTCATGGGCTCTCATGAGAGACATATGCCTCAGTATATGAGAGGTGCATCAGGTCGTGTATGCCTCGCCTCAAAATTTAAGAGAGGTGCACCTCATAATTAGGGTTTAGGTTAATTTTTTTAAAGCAAGTATAGACAAAATATATTAGCTAAAATCCTTTTTTTGTTACTGGGAAAGTTGATTTTATATGCCTCATAATAGGGAAAAATGGAGAAATATGTTCGGCATTTATTTTTTTGGGAAACATACTTGAATGTTTGTTCGAACCAAATTACATCCAATGAAATATAACAATTTATATTGACATACTACTTTACGAAGTTGAAGTATCAAGAATAGGTGGAACATGTTTAAATTTGCACTTGGTTTGAACCTATGGTTAACCCTAATCAAACCCAAATTCAAACCTGGTTCAATCACAATCAACTTCAAACAGGTTTAAACCTCATCTAAATAAATAAAACTCAAATTTGTTCAAACTAGTTCTTAATCGATTTGAGAGTGGAGGAGATAGACACATTACGTTAAACTGATTTTGGCTTATTATATTCTTGCTTCGATATCTTAACTAACACCATGATTCGTTGTAACAATGATAAAAACATCTCTTACTTCATACTTTCATGTTATTATAATAGTTCTTATTTTGCATAATTTATTGTTTTTGAAGTTTAGACCTCAAGACAGTTCAAAGCATACATCGCATCTCATAGACTAAAAATACTTCATGGATTATATAATTTTATTTCTTGAATGATACCTTTTATAAGGGAGAAGAATCCGAATAGTATGTGCATCAAAATGAAGGTTGCTGAATACTTATTAGGATAAGGTAATATGTGCATGCATGGAATTTGTATGTCACAAACCCGGAAAACGGCCAAAGGACTACTGGAGTAAAAAACCTGCCTTACAATATGCACGGGAATTGTACATGCATGCAAGTACATTACCGAGGAGAGAGTTCAGGATGCAGAATTTGGTGTAGAACTTCTTCATTGTGCTTATAGGAGAGGATTAAAACATTTTAAACAAATATATCCATCAGAATACTGAATTGTAAGGATTCAGTAACCGAAAACTAAAGGAAAATGAACCACAAAACTAAAAAATATACTACAAACCTGGCTGGAAAATAAAGAATTTGGAACAATGACAGGAAACTTTTCAGGATTCATAAGAGATGTGGTTGTGAGACCCATTTCTACCACTTGCCCTTCAATTGAACCAGCCTGAAACGCAAAGAAATCAGAATAGCTTGAAGAAGCTTAAACAAAATTTTCTAAATCTGTAAATCATAAACCACTTGCTTTCACAAAGAAAGAACGGATATGTGCTGAGAAATCTTTTAATAAGAAAAAAATATGACAGTGGAAATAACTCTAATCAAGGAGTGATTTAAGTCACACAATCACAGATTTCAAGTTTACCTTTATATAATCTCCCAGTGAGAAAGGCTTTGAAAATTGCAAAGAAAGACCACTAAGTATGTTTCCAAGGATGTCTCTTGCAGCAAAAGCAGTGGCCACTCCTGCAACAATAAATGAGTAAACTCTACGCCGAAACAACCAAACGAATGATGCTGTATAAACCTCTGTACAAAAGAAAACTACAACAGCCAGCTTTTGATGAAGCAAGAAATGAAACATAATTCTACAGATAAGTGAATTTTTTTGCAAAACACAAGCATATTTAAAATTTCAAAGGTACTTCAACTAATTCAACTGTAAGCTAGAAAGAATGTCATGATCCGATCCAAGGCTTGGAGTTAACCAAGACAGGTATAGATAATCATATAGTGGAGATTAAGTTTTCGATATTCATTCTTTATAAATAATACTTTACAAATGAATCAGCCACTGAAGAAAAATAATTTAAAACAATATAATTTAAATTTTACTTCATAACAGGTTGTCCGCATCTTCTATAAATATTATCTTTTTCGTCGCTCATATTTTAATCACTTAATTAACCTGAAAGATAGTTTAAAATGACAATAAACTAAACAAGCCAGTGAATAATCATATTCCTAAACTACGGGAATGCAAGGTAAAAAAAAGTAAAATGCATTTGAGTTAAACTTTTAATAAATAAATGTTAATATTTGAGATTCTATCAATGAATCTTATTATATCAATAACATACAAATTAATTATATTTTTATAAAACCGTCGTAAGAGCAATGTTTAAAAATTTATATTAATTAAGGTACTTCAATATCAATATCAATATCAATATTATTTTTTATATATGTGTACAGATACCTTAATATTTCTCCACTAGTAACATAAATGGGTGACTTCATCATAGTCAATCATATATATACAAGCATACAATAATAATATTTCATTCTCATTTATATAACAGTCAATATTCTTGGCAAGATTTCATGTTTGCGATAATTTAAACAAAGTTGAGTGCACGGGTCATTCTTACTGCAACACCCAAAAGTTGAGAAATCAAGTAAGTTCGGATAATTTTAAAAGTACCCCAAATTTTACATCCCCCGAAAGTCATGCATGACATCGATCAATTCATTACAAAGCACAGTATGTAAATTATGATTGGATTATGAGCTATAAAATTTAAAAGTAATATGTTTATTTTACCTACTTAAACCATAATTAACTCTTCTAATCCAACAGTTATTGCTCCCAACCAACATTTCATACGATATTTAGCATTGGGATAGAATCAGTGGGATGAATGGATCGAATTTCCTCCAGATCCTTCGAGTTTCCACTCTCCCTATTCAGTCTCGCTCGTATAGAGGATCTCGTGAAGCATTTAGATCTCGCACTATACCAAGACGCAAGCAGTAAGGGAGTGTGATAACCAAGAAGCCGCACCTCACAATCCAGGGATTCGAGGTGAGTGTGAATCCCTCTCTCACGTCATTTGAGACTTTCATTTCCTTCCTCACACTTCTGCATTGAAGTTTGCCTCATTTTTTAGTATTTTTCTTTTTCGATAGTCGTCTGAACCTGTGTCGGAAGTGTCAAAATTGGTGTGTGAGCTTCCGTACCGGATTTAGCACGAAATCAGCTAGTAAAGTTTGGGATGATAAGAAAAAGAGAAAATTGAATTAGACGGTTTTGGGAGGGCAATTTTATGCTGAGGAGCCCTCTAAGGTATGATTTGGGCAAACAAATTATCTTTTGAGCTGAAGCACAATATAAGCTAGGATTTCATGAATTTCTACAATGTTTATAAATTTTCAGGTTGGTTACATGAGGCAGCGAGCTCGAGACGAGCATGAGAGAACACGTAAGGCTGCTCCGCTAAGTCAGGCGAAATAATCTTTTGCTAATTTAAAAAAAAAATAATCTTCTATAGATTTTCATATGATTTCTTGTTGGATCCAGACACATTTAGAATTTCACGAATATTGCATAAGAATACTTACACCAAATGTATGAATGCAAACTCATTTCATCTTATAATACATGTGATATTATTATGTTATGTTATGCTACGATACAAATTAATATGCATATGAAATTAAATGTTTACAGATGTTCATTTTATTATGATTCATGTCTATGATATATAAAATGTCTAATTGCAGGAATTATGCTTTATGAAATATTTGATGAATGTTAGTTACATATATTATGTTTTACGAAAAGTCATAATAAATGTTACGAGTAAACTATTACATGATTACTTGCAAGTACAATATGTAGGGATATAATATTTCCGACTTTTGATGTTTAGGCAATGACAAAATTCTTGAATCTTTTTTATCAGGACAAAACGTAGGAAATCATTGATATCAGAAGGTCTATTGATAATTGTTATGTTGGGGAGGGGGGAAACTTTATCGATAGTTTATATGATTTTTGGGTTAGGGCGACGACCCATGATTCAAGGACATGAAATAGTTGAAGCCTATAAATTTACAAATGACATTATTATGAAATGACACCTATAAAATAACATTGTTATGATTACATACGATAAACAGCTTACGAACATACCTATAAACATGTTTTTTATTATACTTATGATTTCATGTTCAAGACATACATGCTTATACAACATTCATAATTTTTATACTAACTGCTTTTATTTTTATGTTATCTAAAATCTAGCATATTATGATTTGTGGATAGATATGTACAGTGACATGCGAGTATGCACATTATTTTCTTTCCATATATAAAATCTTATTTTAGCATTGATTATTTCTCCGAGCTTATTGTTGTCTTCTAAGTAGGGGCAACAAGCACTAGGGTGAGTAATTGAGTGTGATTTGTACATTCTTTGCATTGTATACTTTTGGGATATTGTACAAACATTTTGGATACGTACTATTATTAATATTAAATTTAACAACTTTGTATAGTTTTCATATTTTGATGTTATAATTTTTCCACGCCTTCGAGAATGAATATGAACAAATTATGAAATGCAATGTATCGCTTTTATTGTGACAATTTAATTGAACTAGTTTTTTACCCACCGAATCCTAATTCTACAAGTAAGGATGAGTGCTAGTAGGAATTTAATCTGACCGACTTGTCAGTCTCTTTCACACCTCAGCCGGCCCTTAAAGGGGGGTCAGTTGCGGTGCATCGCATGAGTTCGCTGTTAGTTTACCTGATGAGTTCTATTTGATTCAAGTGCATCGCATTTCATTATTTCTGATGAGTTCGCTATCAGTTTGTCTGTTGATATTATGCATTTTTCTCCTGCACTGTGTTATCATGCTCTTGGAAAGTAGTTTCCTACAGAGTTGATTATCATACCAATCGAGACCTTTGATGCATTTTAGGGATGGATTGGTTGGTAAATCATTTTGCTATAATAGAATGTTGGAAAAGGAGGGTGAAATTGAATTCTCCTAGTAAAAAATCATTTTATATCATATGTGATTGAAATGCAAAGTCTTCCCTGATTAGCGCAATGAAAGTTGAAAAGTATTTGCGAATTAGTGAACACATATTTTTGAGAAAATTAGGCGTTGAATAAAGATGTACAATAATTAAAAAATATTTCAATGACTTCAAAATTTATGTATTTCCTTAAAAATTGATAGGGCTATCACAAGTTATAGTTTTTTAACAGAAATGAAAGATTCACATCCAAGTTGTGTAAAAGCATTCAAAAAGATTTGGGTATACAGTTTCATTTAGCACAATATTTCATCCACAAACAAAGAAACAATCAGAAAGAACAACTTAAGTATTACAAGATTTATTGCGACTCTGTATTCTCGACTTCGGAAGCGGTTGGCAAGATCACGTTCCAATAACTAAAATTTGCTTACAACAATGGTTATTAGCCCAATATCAAAATGGCTCCTTATGAAGCACTGTATCGCAGAAAATGCAGAATTTCATTCGATTGGATTGAAGTAGAAGAACGTCAAATGTTAGGTCCCGAGCTAGTTGACAAAGCCACAGAGAAAATCAGATTAATCAGAGACAGATCGGCAGCTGCTCGGGATCGACAACAGAAATATTATAACACAAAGCACAAAACAGTAGAATTTGAAATTGGAGATTTCGTATATTTGAAAGTCAAGCTAATAAAAGATACAGCTAGATTTGGTCAAGGAAACAAATTGACTTTCAAGTACCATTGGTCCTATCGAAATTATAGAAAGGATCATATCAGTAGCGTATAGATTAGTGTTATCTACGGAAATGTCAGATATTCATGATGTGTTTCACATTTTAATACTGAAAAACTAGGTTTTAAATTAAGATCAGAAGATTTTACAAGAAGTCATTTAAGTACAGAATAATTTAACTTATATTGAAGAATTTGAAAGAATTTTAAAAAACCGATGTTAAGAAGTTGAGAAACATACAAATTTATTTTGTCAAGATAAAGTGAAAGCACATGCCTGAAAAGAAAGCTACATGAAAAAAAGAAGAATAAATGCTACAGAAATATCTTTTCCCATTCAACTGAAGTTAGAAACTTTGAGGACAAAATTTTTGCAAGGATGGAAGAGTTATAACACTCAAATGTTGAAATATCAAGTTCAACAAATTTTAAAAATACCAAAAATTTTGTCATTCCTCAACAGCCAATCGAATTATTTTTATAAAATTCTAAGCATGAAATCGATCAATTTGATATGAAGCACTGTATGTAAATTATGATCGGATTAGGAGCTATAAAAATTGAAAGTTATATGTTTACTTTAGCTAATTAAACCTTAATTAATTCCTCTGATCCCACAGTTACTGTTCCCAACCAACATTTCATGCGTTGTTTTGTGTTGGGATAGAGTCAGTGGTTTGAATGCATCTTATTTCCTCTAGAGCATTCGATTTTCCCCTCCCTATTTGGTCCCGCTCGACTGGAAGATCCCGTGAAGGCTTTGCCTCGAGCACTATAGCGCGTCACAAGCATTATAGGCGTGCAACAACTTGGAAACCACAACTCACCATCTAGAATTCCGTGGTGATTTCGGTGAGTGTGAATCTCTCACGTCATTTGAAACTTTCATTTCCTTACACTTTCATATTAAAGTTTGCCTCATTTTTCGTGATTTTTTCCTTTCTAGTAGCCGTT